CACACACACCACACACACCACACACACCACACACACCACACACACCACACACACCACACACACACACACACCACACACACCACACACACCCCACACACACCACACACACCACACACACCACACACACCACACACACCACACACACCACACACACCACACACACCACACACACCACACACACACACACGATTTTGGCGTCAGGGCGTAGAAAGTTGTGCGAAAAGACGCGCGTGGCCGGCCCATATCACGCGGCGTGGGAATACTGGATCCGCCCGTAGGGGATCGAGGGCATCATTCGCGAGGGGGCAGTCATGAGGGGAGCAGCGCGGATGAGCGGGGAGAGGAGGAGGAGGAGGAGGAGGAGGAGGAGGATGACGAAGAGGAGGAGGAGGAGGAGGAGGAGGAGGAGGAGGAGGAGGAGGAGACAGGGAGGAAGAACACATGACTCTTCTTCCAGTGGCCCAGCGACGCCACTACAGCGAGAGCCACAGCGCGGCGCGTTTGAAGGCAAGCGCACACATGCCCACTCACGCGCACACGCATCTCTGGCTCGGCAGCGTCCAGCGCCCTGCGCCAAGGAGCGGCACTGCGAAGGTGCAGAGAAAAAATAGGAGTGGGAGACATACACCGACCGAGAGCGCGTGGCGACGCCTGCGCGGCCTCGACGGGGCACATTCCCAAGAGATCGCCTTCACGCCGGCCCGGCCCCGCGGATAGCCGCTCGGGGGGGGGCGGGCCAGCGTGCGCCGCGCAGGCTCGGAGGGGCCGAGGCCCCGCCTTGCGCGGAGCGCACCGGCGTCCACCGAGGCAGCGTCGGGATCGGCAGCGGATGGGATGCCGGTGACCGCGAGCGGCCAGGAGTCGGCCGCAGGGGGGCCCTCTTCGGCGTCGCGGCCGCGCGCGCAGCGGTGCGGCAGAGGCAGTCGGAGCAGCGAGGCGGTTTTCCCGTTCCAGCCAGGTGGCGGCACTGCGAGTGCAAGAACGTACCGCGCTCGAGCCTGCGAACTTCCACCAGGCATCGCAGGTGGTGGGCTTCGCTAGGCGAGACACGACACGTACACACACTGCCTTCCCCTCACCTCCTTACCCCGCCCCCCTCACCCTCCTCCTCACCCTCCTCCTCTCCCTTCCCCCTCCTTCCCCTCCTTCCCCTCCCCCTATCCATTCCCCTCTCCCTCCCCCTCTCCATTCCCTCTCTCCATCCCCCCCCTTTCCTGTCCTCCCCCTTCCTCCTCCTGGCGACGGCGGTACGGACATGGCCCCCAGGCTGGACCCTGTCGCGCTGCCTCACCCAAAGGCGATCTCCTTGCGTCGAGTCCATTTGTATGGAAATGGACCCTGGGAGGAAAAGTTGGGTCGCGAGTTGAGCGGCAAGGGAGCGACTCGCATCATGACACATGATGTGATTGTGTTTAGTGTCACCGCAAGGCTAGCCATCAATCCCTAGAGACGAATTAAATGACAAGCTCGGGGAATTATTACTTAAGCATGCCTTCGCGGAGTCGTGCGCAAGTGCGACACACATGACAATGCAAACATGCATCTATCAGAAGTGCACCGTCAAGTAATTCGTCTTCGCTCGAAGAGTTCACTTCAGAAAGCGCTCCTGATTATTGGTTTTCTCCCCGCATATTCCCTAAACGGTGTGTGGTCTAAGGAACTGGGCCTGTCTGGCGGTCTGGCGGCTATGTCGTCGCCGTCGCCGCCCCGTCACCAACTCGTCGCCGCCCGTCGTCTGGGGCTGTCTGGCGGGGTGGACCCATCCTTCCAAGCGTGACCGCTCGAGGATGGTGCACTTCCTGCGTGGGAAATAATGCCTGAACTGTCATTCCATGCGCGCCCGCTCGAGGATTGTGCACTTCCCGCATGGATGCTATCGCGCACCCGCTCGAAGATCGTGCACGTCCTGTATTCCCAGGCGCTGCTCCCAAGTGCTCCAGGGCCTCCCGGCCCACTCAGGCAACCAAGGACACCAAGTTGGCCCAAGATGCCTCGAAGACGGCCCAAGAAGGCCCCAAGAGGGCCCCAATGTGCGCCAAGATGGCCAAATAGGCCCCACGATGGCCGAAGAGGCATCCGAGACGGTCCAAGATGGCCCCAAGGCGGCCGAAGATTGATTTAAGACTGCCCAAGATGCCTCTCAGAGGGCCCGAAATGGCCATTAGAGGATCTCCAACAGGGTCCGAAAGAATCAAAATCATTGACTTCCCTTGGGTTTTGAATCATTTTCGCATTCTCGCCTTCTCGTGCTGCCGTCAGCTCAAGATGGCCCAAGGGGACTCCACGATGGCCCACGAGGCATCCAAGACGGCCCTCAGACGACCCAAGAGGACCTCCCGCGGGACCAAAGACGGCCTTACAAGGCCCTTCGACAGCCCCAGACGGCGGCAAGACGGCCCCACGACTGCCATCAGACACCCACCAAGGGCCCCAAGACGGCCTAAGGGAGCCCCAAGCTGGCGTAAGAGGACCCCAAGACGGCCCAAGGGATCCCCAAGACTGCCTCACAGGAGGCCACGCCACCCCAACACGGCCCAAACGAGTTTCATCATCATCATCATCATCATCATCATCATCATCATCATCATCATCATCATCATCATCACCACCACCACCCCCATCATCATCATCATCATCATCATCATCAGCATTATCATCATCATCGGCAGCAGCGTCCCCATCCCCATCCCCATCCCCATCTCAATCACCATCATCGTCATCATCATCATCATCATCATCGTCATCGTCATCAGCATCATCAGCATCATCATCACCACCACCACAACCATCATCATCATCATCGTCATCGTCGTCATCGTCATCATTGTCATCATCATCACCACCCCACCACCACCACCACGACAATCATCATCATCATCACCATCATCGTCATCAGCTTCAGCATCAGCATCAGCATCATCATCATCACCAGCTTCAACATCAGCATCATCAACATCGCCATCACCATCACCATCATCACCATCATCATCACCATCGTCATCATCATCATCACCATCGTCGTCGAGATCGTCTTCGTCGTCATCAGTATCACCATCATCGTCACAATGACCATCAGCATGATCACTATCATGATCATCATCTTCATCATCATCGTCCTCATCGTCATCGTCATCGTCATCGTCGTCTTCATCGTCATCATCAACGAATCATCATCACCGTCGTCATTGTCATCGTCGTCATCATCGCCATCGCCATCGTCATCATCATCAGGATCATGGTTATCATCATCATCAGCATCATCTTCGACATCATCACCATCATCACCATCATCAACATCGTCGTCATCCTCGTAATCATCACCATCATCACCATCACCATCATCATCATCATCACCATCATCGTCATCCTCATCATCATCTTCATCGTCATCGCCATCATCATAATCATCATCATCATTATCATTATCTCAATCGTCGTCGTCGTCACCATCGTCATCAACATCGTACTCATCATTCTATTCATCATCATCCTCATCCTCATCCTGATCATCGTCCTCATCATCATCCATCATCATACGCCTCGTCATCCTCCTCATGACCGTCCTCCTTATCGCCCTCATCCTCACCATCACCATCATAACTAAGATCACCACCACCGCCATCACCATAATCATCGTCATCATATTCATAGTTACGGTCATTCTCATACACATTGTCATCGTCATCATCATCCCCGACGCCATCGTGATCGTCATCGTCATCATCACTATCATCACTATCATCATCATCATCATCATCATCATCATCATCATCATCATCATCCCAAGTACTATCTCCATCACCAACACCATCATCACGATCACCATCACCATCACCATTATCATCATCAGCATCAGCATCAGCATCAACATCAACATCATCATCATCACCACCATCACCATCAAGATGAACGTCACCCCATCATCCTCACTATCCTCATCATCCTCATCACGTCTCTCCCAAGCATGGAGACGCGGGCAGCTAGATATTTACTCCAAACGGTGTGTTTCAGGGAACCGGGCCTGTCTTGTGGTCCAGCAGCTGTCGTCGCCGACGCCGCCCCGTCGCTGCCTCGTCGCGGCCCGTTGTCTGGGCCTGTCTGGCGGTCTGGCGGCCATGTCGTCGCCGTCGCCACCCCGTCGCCGCCCGTCGTCTAGGCCTGTCTGGCGGTCCCGCAGCTCATGCCGCTGTCGCCGCCTCGTCACCGCCCGTCGTCTGGGTCTGTCTGGCAATCTCTCGGTTATGTCGTTGCCGTCGCTGCCCCGTCGCCTCCTCGCACCGATTGAACCGCGCAAGTTGCACCGCATAGGGCCTCTCTTCTAAAGATATTAAGATCTACTTCCCAAGGCCCGGGCAGAACGGTACAATCTGTTTTATTGCAAATTGCGTACAATTCTGCCCCCTTGCCCATCCCAAATATGAATTCGTACCATCCCAGGCAATCCCTTATCGCCCACCCCCCTCATCCTCTGCAGAAAGAATTTGCGAGCGAACTCTGTGATCAAGAACCATCTGTGTTCAAGAACCCCTTCCACATGTTGGGACGAACTGCGCACGCGCGCGTCGTCGCGCGCGCATGCCGAAATCCTTCAACAACCCAAGGTTCAACAAGGACTTTAAAATCGAATGTCGCGAAAATCGGCGGCGAACCCGGGGGAAGAGAGAAATGCTCAGAAGTCCACGGGCCTTTTGGGAAATTGCCCGAACTTTCCCCGAACACGCAGAAG